GAGAGAGAGAGAGAGAGAGAGAGAGAGAGAGAGAGAGAGAGAGAGAGAGAGAGAGAGAGAGAGAGAGAGAGAGAGAGAGAGAGAGAGAGAGATTAGTAATAGTCAGCCATATGGATGGCATCATCTCCACAGCCGATGATTCATTCAATCAAGTCAAGGCAAACTCCTCTCAAACGTTGTGTAGACATAACGGCTAAGCAATTACACAATAGCATTCTGGGAATAAATAAGTAAACAAATAAATCAGGACCGGAACCATTACCAAGGGACTGTCCTCTCCACTAGCAAAACTGGAGCATCCTCCTCTGGGCCAAGTATCACCTCACCCATTTCCCACCACAATTTCCCTCCCATTCCGTCCCATTCCCTCCCATTCCCGACAAGTGTTTTACAGGGAGTGTTATTTTGGGCGAATTTTTCACTTAAGCCATTCCCTTCCGTTCCCTGCAAAAGTCTGTGTGGCACGTGGGTGGTATGCAGGGGGAAATTGGCCAGTGGAATCTGCCTGATTTAAGCCACAACTCGGGATGGGTTTCCAAATCCCAGCACCACACGAGAAGTGGAAAGTTTGGACGTGGAAGAAAGAAGCGGCAGGAGGGAGTGAGGGAGGCGGGAGGATGACAGGGAGGCTGAGTGGAGGGAGGAAGGGAGGGGGGGAAGGGAGGAACAAGAGGAAGGGAGGGAAGGAAGGGAGGAAAGAGGAAGGGAGGGAAGGAAGGGAGGAACGAGAGGAAGGGAGGGGGGGGGGAAGGTTAAGGGAAAAGAAGGGGGGAAAGGAAGGAGACTGGAGGAAACGAGAGACATGGAGGGAGGGTTGGGTGGAGGGACATAGGGACGGAGGGAGGTTGGAAGGTAAGGGAGGCAGGGACATGGGAAAGGAAGTCGACTGAAGAGGGAGGCAGGGAAGAGAGGAAGGAAAGGAGCGACTGACACATTGCAGGAGGAAGAAAGGAAGAAAGGAAGAAAGGACGAAATGTGGGAAAGGAGGTAATGAAGGAAGGAGCAGAAGGAAGGAGCAGAACGAAGGGAGGGAGGGAGGGAGGGAGGGAGATAACGAAGGGTGGAAAGGGGATGGAATGAAGCTAGACAAGGAGGGGGGGAGGGACGGATAGAGTGGAGGGAAAGAAGGGAGGGAACAAAGGGACGGATAGAGTGGAGGGAAAGAAGGGAGGGAACAAAGGGAGGGAAGGTGGGGATTAAAGGCAAGGAGGGAAGAAAGAGAAGGGAGGAAAGGAGTTGGGAGGGAGGGAGGCAGAAAGGGAGGGAGGAATGGGATGGAGAAAGGGAATGCCAGAAATGGGTTCCACAAAACCCCCATGACTCAGCACTAATTATGGTGGAAAAGGAAGATCAGGAGACAGACAGACCACTTGGCGCTCTCTCCCAAATCACGGTCAAAGAGAGGTGCAATGAAGATGGTTTTTGGACATGCATTTTGTGGCCAGATGGCACTCCAGCAAGATAACTCGAACTGGACACTTCGCCATGGAGATTGCAGAACCCAGAGCGATGGCTCTCTGAGTATACTGTTGGTACTGGCGATACACTGTTGCGCATTTCAAACCCTCCAGTAGTGACGGTTACAGAAAGATGGGCCCCAGTTGTTGCAAAGGCACCAGAGAGGTTTCTCATCTAGTCTCCATAGCTTAGGAGGATAGCTTGGGAGGATAGGATGGAAGGGAGGGAGGGAGGGAGGGAGGGAGGGAGGGAAGAGACCTCATTTGTATGACAGAGGCTGTCTCAGATTGATGAAGGGTACACCATACCACGACTTATTTCCCTGAGTGTAGCTTTAACTGGGGTTCAGGACGTATTCTCATGAAAAAAAAAGAAAGAAAAAAAAAAAAGGACGTATTAAACGTCGTATTTGGTAATGGCCAGACTCCGTACAGAGTCCTAGTCTGAGCATAGCCGGAACATTTTCATCTTTGTATTGGGTGCGTACAGAGCTTGCCTGGAGGGAAGTCATCTTGCCTGGAGCTTGACAGGGGGGCGGAACAGAAGAGCTCCTCACTTACGCTTGAAACTGAGAGCGAGCTGTTCGATATCCCTTAGATTGACCGTTTTGCGATATTCTTCAATTGTTTCTGTTGCGGAGGCATTGTCCGGCGCCTGTATTTCAATCAGAAGGCCAATGTTGTGGAGTGAAAAACGGGAGAGGGTGGTGGTGGTAAAACGGAGAAGATAGACCACAAAGTGAACACAGTTATTAATACTTATTATACATGCCTACTGACAAGATGTCCATCATTAGCAGTACTTCTCGTGAACATATTAAGACAACAGGACACTGTGCTGTCATCACAACTGCGGTACCCCTTGTTGAAAAGTTAGTCCTCCTTTACTCTCTCTCTCTCTCTCTCTCTCTCTCTCTCTCTCTCTCTCTCTCTCTCTC